ATCACCAGCATAGCACTACAATAAGCAATACCTGGGGGACATATCATTCTCAGGCTAAAAACTGCCTGATCCTGATCAAAAACATGCAGCAAGTGGTTTCACAATAGGCACAACCTTGCGCCACATTTCCTTCTGGCCAGGTTCTGATACCCAAATAACAGATTTAAAAGAAGCAAGAGGGATTTGAGCTGTCTGGCTTTCCTCATCCCTGCAAACATCCCATGAACCAGGTCCCAATTGAGAAAGCTATTTGGGCACACATATAATCTTAGTGCTAATGAGTCCATTTACACGTGTTTCAGTACCTTGCTGAAGAAGCTCACTGAAGTCAACAGCCTGGAGCTCTCATTCATCTTCTTGCTCAGTAATTACACAAGCAGGAACCTCAAAATCTCAAAAATACTCTGAAAGTAGCAACTTCAAAATAATACAATCACATTAAAGACTACCACTGAACTGAAGCAGTGTGCTGAGGTCAAATTAAGCCAAAAGCAACAGCTGATGAAGATTAGGATGGTCTCTTATCTCTGCACAACCACCTGCTCCCTCCCAGCCCTGCAAACCAGGCAGCAGGATCAGCTCTAGCCTCAGGAAGGCCCAGCAGATCTTCAGACATTGTCCTCCTTCAGTACTAGAGGACTAGGACTAGCAGAAGACTAGGATATGGTCTCTGAGATGGCAAAACTCTCATACCCCTGAAGGGCTGGGTGCAGCAGGGGCTGTAATGCTCAGCTAACCTTTCACTCAACAAATGGCAGAATGGAAACATCTCTTTAAAACAGACCCAAAGAGGGCCGTGACACTGGCTTCAGAAGATAGCCCTATGTTTCTGTCTTGCAGTGGTAGGAACCCAAGTTGGGACATGGGTTTTTGCTTTTCTGTAGGCTTCTCTGGGAGAACCATGGTGAAGGAGGATTCACTACACCAGACTACAACCTCCCAGCAGTAATGGATGGTTCAGGAGGCAGCAGACCACATGCACTGCACCCCACAGCTGCTCAACATGAGCAGGAGTTAAAGAGAGCTTCTCTGATTTCACCCGGTCAGCGCTCCAAAGCACATTATTTTATTATCCCTTGTAACATGTAGATGACTACTGTCCAGAAAATAACCCAGCCTCTTTTTAAAGCCATCTGCAATTTCCTGTTTTTAACATCCCCACATAGGAGGCCTGTAATAAGTGCCACTCATAAGCAAGGAGCTGTTCCTCCCACGTCCCTCCTGGGGAAAGCTTTCCCATTGCTTCAAGTCCTCTCTGTGGTGAACAGGAGGCAGTACCCCAAAGTGCTGCTGCAGAGCCCTGTAGTAACATCTGCACAGCTAAAAGGTTTTAATCTCAGGTTTTCCTGTCAGGGCTGCTTTCATATCGTTAACAACATTGGAAATCCCAAAACAACATCTCTGTTGTGTGCACGCATGTGAGCTGCACGACTGGGGCCGGTCACATCGTGGAGCTGATGCTGGCAGTGCCAGGAGGCCAGAGCACAGCAGCCCCAGTGCCCTGAAGAAAAGGAGCCCACATAGGTGTAATTGCTGGTAAATCGAGTCCTTGTTGACAAAGTAGAAGCATGGCATTGTGCACAGGCAGTTCATAATGTTGGCTTTCATTAAGCGAATGGCTCATCAGAATGACAGACTGCGTAAAGTGATATTTGTGGCACAGAGCTCCCAAAAATCACAGAATCATAGACTATCCCAAGTTGATGATCCCTGTGGGTCCCTGCTGAGTCCAACTCCCAAGCCTACCACCAAGCTCAGGCAAGAACATGGAGAGGCACCCCAAAATCCGCATGACATCAGAATCAGGCCAAGAAGGACTGTGATTTCTTGGGCTACTTGAGCCATCTCCCAGGATGCAGAAGAACCCATAATCTGCCTTGTAAAGCCTTCAGCTATCAGTACTGATCAACTCACTGTCTGCAGTAAGAACTGCTATGAATAGAGATAACAGAATCAGGCCCATCCCTTGCATGCACATGATGCCTATTTTGTTTGAGTACCCCAGCTGTGCATTAGCATTATAGCTTGCTGTGCTGGCGTTCGATTTCTGTTTATTATCAGTGCAGTGATGATTATCACTCAGCCTCAGATCAATAATAACTAGGTTGAGTCAATGGCCTGGATCATTCACGAGGAACTGATAAACAACAAACCTCTAACACGACTCGATCTCTGGCTGCCAACTGCACTTGGGAGGGAGTTAAGCTCCCAGCAGCAAACCCACGCCGCCGCAAGCACAACACACGCAGGCATGCTTCACAAACAAAAGCCTTCGGGTTTTTCAAAACCTCTTTGTAGTATTTTTTCCGCCGCTGCTTTTCACATCTGTTGGTTTTGGGTCCGGCAGTCCCCCGCTCGCTGAATTTCCACATGTATTTCCACACTGGATGTGTCTTTAACCTCAAGTGGACTGTCAAGTGAGATGCCAGATGCCCCCTTACTTCCTCAGTGCAAACTATCGGTAAACCTTAGCATAACTTTACTTTGAGCCTTAAACTAACAGCATGTGAAAAGATTAATATGAATAAATTCAAAACTAATCAGATCCCTTCTTTAAATGTTGACACAGTATTATTTATATCCCATAAATACCTTCTTGACTAAAATTCATCCCAGGAGATTGGCACCTCGCCAGTTCTATTCATATTTACTGTATTTATACAGTACAGTTGGCCAAGGATAATATTTAAGACAAAATATGCCTTAGGGTATATACAATATCTCTTATAGTTTTCCTTTTAAATCTCCTCATTGCTAAAAATATTTAGTCTGAACTTTATAAAATGCCCCACAAAGACCTATCAGCGATCTGCAGTGATATACGGCCGACTACGAGTATAATTAGAGCATATTTGTAATACTTGGGTCACAGGCGGTTGCTGAGTGCTCACGGCTCGCGGCAGGGACTGAACCACTGATCTTTCCCATGCCTCCCTCCTGGCAGCGTGCGACCCTCCTTTTCCCTCCTGCCTCTCCCAGGCGTGGAGAAAACACAGAGTTAAAGAAATCTGCTCCGAGACACCTTGGATCTGCACTTTCAAGTTCTTCCTTTAAAATATGGTGGGGCGATTTCATCCCTGCTGTCTTTTTTGGAAAGGTTTGCTCCATTTGGTATAACTAGAGAGCAGTGGAAAAGCAGTTAACCTACTTACAGGGATGTTCGCGGCAGCACGCACAGCAGGACGGGATCTGCTGCCGTGGGGCCCTCTGATCCCAAACTTGTGATGCACTCTGTTGGTAGGTACCTGCAATCTCCTCTATTTGTCCAAAGCCTGGATTGATCCTTCAGTGCAAACCTGGCCTCTGACAAGGCTTTATAATTAGATCCTCTTTTGCCACACCACCCAAGAGGCACAGCGCAGGTAACTGCACTTTCTGGACCATTGGTCTTTGGGAATCTCCTCACAGCAAGAGACATATGGAACATGGTAAGGACAGAGGCATTTCACCTCCAGACGCTGTCCCTCATTTGGCTCTCAGCCATTCTAGCCCTGCCCATAGATGCCCATTGCTCCACTCAGGATACGACCCAGGAGGTGCCAAAACAGAAGTGCTGGCTTTCAACAAAACTCACCAAAGCCCCACTGATCTGAACACTGACTTAGTTGCTATTACTGCAAATTACACTGAACCTCTTTGCCCACAGCCTCTTGGCTCCAAATGTATATTTCTTTTTTTTTTAAAAAAAAAAAAAAAAAAAAAAAAAAAAAAAAAGTATTTCTTTCCTCTGGGTAACAGGGGTGGAGTGTATTTATCACGGCTATTAGGGATGGTGCCGTAATTACAATACTAAAACATCCCTGACTGCCAGGGTGTCCCGTACCTGATGCTGTCATTTAACAACAAAGGGAGGCAGCTGCGCCCAGCGCGGGGCTCGGATGCCTTGGCTGCCATCCTGGGACGATCACATGCAAGACAGAGCAAGCCTCAAAGCTACAACTCGCTCAACTAAAAATAAATAAGAGAAAACGCAATTAGAAACTCCAAGATAAAGTTACCAAGATGGCTGCATTATCTGTGTGAGCCGGAGGGATGTGCTTTGCCGACCCAGCCGGTGAGGAGATGGGGCGTCCAGTGGTGGGAGGGGAGACAGAGGGAAGGGAGAGAGGCGAAATAGTGGGGATGCGGCTCTGGGTACGCGAGCGGAGGAGTTACTTTCTGCTTCTGGTATTTCACTTTCCTCGGCACGATGATGATCGAGATTCTTTTAAGGGAGTGCGGTGTTTTTCCCTTTTTTTTTTTTTTTTTTAAATTCTTTTTTTCTCCCTTTTCGCTTAAACCTCACAACCCAAACAAAAAGGCGCGTCGTTGCGATTCTTAGTCGCGCTCAGTGGATCCGGTCAGCACAGTGCGTTTGTACCCTTTCACTGCACAAAACGTGGCACGGATCGCCAGAGAGGTTAATAGCAGCGAGAAGGCAGACGGGCTGAGACAGGTTCCAAGCAGCCAGGCTACCCAGAAGGGAAAACTTTTCCTCTACCTGAAATGAAAGCGCCCATGCACCGAGCGGGCAGACGGGGAGGGACAGAGGGGGAAGCCTGAGCTCGCTGAGCACCAACCCATGGAACAGAGTGCTGGAGGAGTGAAGGGAACCCAGGAGGGAATGCTGCGGGTTTTGTTGTGGGTTTGTTCTATTATTTTTTTCTTTCTTTCTTTTCAAGACCTCCTTTTCTTTTCAGTTCTGGAGAGATGGAAACTTGCCCGACTCAGACACTCCAAGGGAAACAACGGCAGCGGAAAGATGTTGGCTCCTCTCAGAGGCTGCACCCGGGGCAGCGGAGCGGCTGCGCAGGCACCCCTGGGGACCACATCCCAGCAGGGATCCGAAGCTGGGGGGCAACCGAGTCCCCCCCATTCAACATATTCATTCCCCCCATCTAAAGGAAGTCCTATAAGCAACCAGATGGGATACTGAGAGCAAAAGGAGCAAAGAGGGAGGGGTTGCGATGTACGGGGCTGGTGGGCACTGCCAAGCGAAATCACGTCCGCAGAGCACTTACTTTCGGGGTAAAAAGGCTGCATGTCTATTTTGTAAACTTCTTTGGCGTAGTACTCCTCGTCGCTCCGCTCCCTCTCGCAAGTGGCGGCTCTGTGGTTGGCTTTCTCCTGCAGCAGGTCCCTGGTGCTGTTGTAGATGGAGATGACCTCCGGGGGCACCTCCTCGGGCTCGGGGTACTCGTCCGGGGGGCTGGTGAGCTTCAGCTTGCTCAGGATCTGCCCCCGGATCGCCTCGATCCTCTTGCGCATGAACTGATCCATGTCGAGGGTGCTGCAGGTAGACAGGCTGAGAGCCACGGCGGCCAGATCCAGGGTGAGGAACACGCTCAGGAGATAGCAGTGCATCTTAAGTGCTTAAATACAGCGCCCCCCGAAAAAAGAGTGACTTTAACCACGAACGACAACGATGGGGGTGGGGGGATGGGGGGTTTAATACTAAAAAATAACAGGGGGATGTGTGCAAACAAAGGGAGGATCTGCAGACAAAATGCAGTGAACAACCGGACTGCAAGGACGGCTTGCAATCCACAAACGCACGGGAATCGCCAGTGGAAAAAATACCAATAGTGATACAAAAAAAAAAAAAAAAAAAAAAAAGCAGCCTAGTAAGAGTCGGGGGTGGAGAGAGCGGCAGAAAAAAAGAAAAAAAAGGGCCAGATGCAGGGTGAGGAAAAAGAAG